CCTGCTTTAAATGTTGCTGTGGTATTGACGGATCAGGGTCAAAGGCGTATAATTATCTTTATAGCATTTCTGGGTGAAGTTGTTCTAGCCGCCATTGTGGGTCGTAGCACGCGACTGTCATGCTCTAGAAAGCAGGTCGCTCAAGAATAGATCATCGGCAAACGTAAACAAATAGCGAAAATAACGATAAGGAATACAAGACGTATGTTGATCTGTGAATGAATGAATGAATTGGTATCGTAATTGCCATCGCAAACGCGCGGCATTGAAGAACCCTACGCAGGACCACGATCGACCTTTTGATGATAGGTTTTTAAAATATGATCGGATCGCTTTTGCGACTCGACTCAACTTAAATGCTTAGCACATATACAAGCAGTGTAAACAACCATGTATTAATATATGTCGTTCTCGGATGCGTATCCATGTTCTTCTTTCATTTGTGCTACCGATTGGAGGCCTCTGTCACCGTCCAGACCGATACAGAGTAAAAATATTGGTCGTTTTCATGGTTTTAAGGTAATAGCTTCAGCAGTATAAGTCGCGTCACATTGACGTTAGGCTCATTTGAGGCTTGAGACTAATAGATGTGCGCTAAAATTGTTGGAATGCCTTTATTCAGATTTAAAAAATAGCGCCTTAAAGCTACATGTAATTTGTGTAAAAATTCCTTGTGGTTTATAATGTTATTACGACAAAGGCACAAAAGCTCTTCGGTCCATAAGAAAATAATTTGTATGATTCCGGGGTATGATCAACAAGAGTTATCAGGAGAACCGGCCCAAAAATGGCGCTGTCATATTCATCTACAAATGTCGATGTGAAAGACACTTCTCGTAGTAACCGACCAATTAGAGAAAAAGTTGATGAATCTATTACGAAAATTGACCAAACCCGACACCCAAACCCATAGTTATGTATATAGACCAAACCCGTAGTTATGCTATCGTCAATAAACTGAAACTCTACTAAACAGTTTCAAACAATTTGAAGGGAAATAGCTACAAAAAAAAAACTTAGTGTTTGAACGGACGAATCGACGTAAACGTATTTATCCGATCGTATCTCCATCTGCGAAACTTCACAAAAGGGCCACGATATCAAGCTATTTTTAAAGCAATTGATCACGTCATGAAACGTAGATAACCTACAACAATCAAATGTAAATAAATAAAAAAAAAAAAAACAATTTTTAAAAATGTGTTTTACAAAAGCTAAACCGACGCCAAACAAATCGAGGGTGTGTCTGGTGGGATTGCAAAGGGGTTGTCCCTTAGAAGCTGCTGATATCCGGAAAGACGATCAGTTCGCATCTCTGTCATGAACAGCCAAGAAGATCGCAACAAATCATTGAAAAAAAAATGACCGGAAGCTGCGAACAGATCTATCTTGGGAGAACGACAATCAACAGGGCAGTACTTTTGAATGATTATTTGTAATTCCATAGGTCGACCCGATTGAACAGTAGCGAATGATATAGACGACAATTTTAGCCTAACTCTGCATTTGAACTATGGAATATTGCTATTGTCAAGGATTCAGCGAATAAGATTTCATGTATCTTGATGATGTCACGAAAAGACTTGCGTTACTAGCAATACATCCCGGTACATGATTACAAGTGCGCTCTCAATGTGAAAACACCCCGTCGCGCGCCCCTCACAATAGATCAATCACCGGGTAGTATATATATACGATTTAATTCAGATCGCCGTTGTTAGTCACAGATTTTGTCGCTTGTAGAAACCAAATATTATCCATCCAGTACGTAGTCCTTTCATTAAATAATAAATTATGTAAAAGTATGAGGACGTCAGCGTATCTTCACCTCACTTATCCTCGTACGGAAAACGGAAGGCTTTTCTCCCTCATTTAAATGCCTCACATCTACATGTCAGATGCTTGTCGAAGGGCAATATATAAACATTTGCTGCTATAGAAAAATTGACACAGTTTTGTCAATAGTAGCCAATGGGAGCAATCATGTGTGAGTTCAGCATTGTTTATCTCTGTTTCACAATGAATCATCTACGGTTCGCAATTCTTTTCTATGGGCATAACAGTCCTCACACTTTAGACTTTGTATTAAATTTTTTGATCGGTACCTAGCGAGAATGCTTGAACGCTGTTCCACATAGGTATTTTGTAGTACAGCACTTTTGGAAATAGCCTCTGAAACCCATCCGATGTAGGTTCAGCCGAGACCAATTAGGGGATATGATTTAACCACCCACAATTCGGTCACGAAACAGAGCACCCTATCGTCAAGCAATTCTAATATGGCGACTTTTTACTTTGCATATAGATCGAGATAATTTCCTTGCTTCGCTCAGAGTAGCCATTGTAGCAGAATAGTAATTGACCATTTTTTTAGGACGATTTTCATTTTGACGCTAAACTTATTATAAACATATAAGTGGTGCGGTTGCCGTTAATCATTTATCAAGTAATAGCTTAATATATTGCACGAAGCTTTTCATGACCAGATTCGTCCTGCACAGTTCCCCAGGTCTGATTTTTTACAAATTACCTTGTAAACATCGAAGCAAACACGAATGAACGCACGAAAAAAAAAAACGGCTTTTTATGCACTGCTAGGACTTGCATTAATCTTTCTAAGAATGTTAAAAAAGTAGATTTAATTGCAACGCGATTATAACCGCTATAATAAAGTCGACCTAACGACTGAGCTTGGTCCACGCCAATAAGGGACTGATATAGAAAAACTATATATATATATTAATAAACTAGGACAATCAACAACGAGAGAGAAAAATAAAGTATTAGCTCAGTACCTACTGGTATAGTTACAATGCCTTCCATAGGTTTGTTGAAACAATTCCACACAAGTCTCACTCCTTTGGCTAAGCTTTTATTAAGGTGCAGGTAGTTGATGTTTCAAGGGCTTGTTTATGTAAGAGGTGTAACTGATAGTGCTATCAATTTGTCTGTATAAATGCATAGTGTTAATAATATCCGGAAGTGAACTCAGGCTTGTTTAGGTCAGACACTTGAGAAATTTACCCATGGCAGGTGCCTGCAAGTCCGTGCAATTGCTGTTCGCTCTCTGTGAGCCGATTTTTTTAACGACAGGACCCAGATACATATCTATATATATATATATATATATATTCAAATTGTTATTGACAAATTTAACAGTAATCAAAATATAACGAAACTAATAGGGCTACACGCGAGTATCTGCACAAAAAAATGCATCTAGGCACAATGCAGTATCGGTATTTCATGTGTGCTTTAAAGATGATGCGTTCTGTATTGTGTTATCGAACGTTATGTACTTCACGGGCTAGATTATACACGGTAAGTACGTTATGATAGATAATTGCAGTCAGCTAGCAAAAAAACATAATTGGCGATTATAATTATACGGGGCTTATAAACTGCGAATATCAATTATTTCAATATCATGGAGCAATATTTCTGTGTACGTACGTTCTTGTCACGAAAGTATAGCGATATCATTACTATACGTATGAACGATAGGCAGGCCCAATTACAATAAGTTCGAACGATTGACCTTGATGACAAGCATATAGTGCATACATATCTCTGGGCCACCTATAGATTCTGTCAAAAAGGGCATATGCCAAACTTCGTTGCCTCCGTGTTTATCGTCAGAGTTTGCTTTACCCTTCCGGAACTGACCCGATTCAAAACAACTTGATTGACAAGTATGTTTGTCATTCGTAGCGTCGTCCGAAGTGTGCTCCCGCTGCCGCCGTGTATTGCCCTGGGGCAAGCAGGGTATAGCCCATAATTGGACTAGTAAATATTTACATAGCGAGATATTTAAGTGTAAAATCGTCCTCCTTCCCATAGAACAGAATTATCCAATAGAATTAATTAGTTGCTATTGAGTTGTTAGCTAAAAACGAATAGTAAATCAGTGAAATCCCTAACTTCTAACTCGTTTGATACTGGGCCGACTAACAGTTGGGAACACGAGGGTGCCACAATCGCATAGCTACCAATCAACAAAGACGCGATATATAATATGAAGTAAGCGCAGAACCCTTCAACCATTTACTATGTGCACTCAGCTGGTGCCTTTAATCACAGAACAATTCATTCGGGTTAAAGAGTATCCATATCTTTCGGGACAGGTAAGCATTAAAAGTAGCAAATTTTGAAAAAGGTAGGAACAAGTCTTGGCGTTTAAAAACGGATAGGCTCCTTGCATAGGACTAACTCTAATGAGGACCTTTCTGCAGTTGACGCTGCAGAATTGTCCAATCGAGAAATGCGCCATCTTTCTAAGTCATTTGATTCTGCTATATTGATGTCGTTGGATGTTACGGACAATTGCTGGAGAGTCGGCAAGAAGCTCTGCTAGGCCTGCTTAACATGTTGAGGTTAAATGTTCTAGCAGCCGCGGAAACGTTTACCATACTAGCATTTTTTTTCAAAAACACCCCCTTATTTTCGCAGTTGTCAGTAGCGGTGAGTTACACTATTTGAATAGTCCTGGTACCTCATCGATCGGGCGCTTGTTACTCTTGGTTCCATATGAAAAATCTATCAGTACGTTTCACGTACAGGTAGCCATAGATAACTTGCCTATAAAGGCAATAGCCGTAACGTTACCTATTACGTAAAACAGTTCAGGGGAAACTGGCTATTGACAAGGCGCACGCGCATATTGCGAAACGCATATGTCATCTGTGGCAAATGATAATACCGAGCACGTAGTAACAGTTTCTACGTGTATAGCTCACAAAATACCTATAAAGTTATCGCAACATTCAGTAGAGAGTTGAATTTTCACATTCGACAAAGTCGTAAACGGCGTTCCGATGTTTCAAAGCATCTACTACGATTATACCTCTTGAGCATCTGATCCCGGAAGGGTGAATAGCTTTATCTCTAATACAAATCTATGTACGATCATGCAATGCACGCATAGATAGTAGATAATAGGAATACTAAATCCACGCTTTTAATGTCTTTCTGTTTATCCTATTCATTGTCCTATGCAACAGGGTCCAGGAGTCCGACGGTGGCTTCTTCGAGAATTTCACCGCTTTGTCATGGAGACAGGAGAACAGGAGGCTGCAAGTTGCCCGAGAGGTTCGTTTCCCCCGCAGATATTTGCGCGCATTACCTTTCTTACTGTAACGCATAACACGTGTAAGCACAACACGTATACATTTAGTCGCATGGCAGAACTGTTCGGGATTACATTTTGATCATTATTTGTTTTTTAGCGCTAGAATTTCCAGGGTCTTTAACGTCTAGCAACATCGCAGACGACATAGCATGAATAATCTCCCTGCCATCCGGCTTTTGAATTATATATTACTAGTAGTTTTAGGCGGGAACGTTTGTTCCACTATAAAAAAAAAAGCCCAACAACGAATTTATTCTTTTAGCATAGTTTTACCTGTTCTTCTGGGCCACTTTCCAAAACAAAGTGAAGGCCAATTATGTTTGGTAACGGTCACTGCATTGAAGTGGATAACATGATCAGCGTGAGAACTGTGTAGACAGGCCAAGTATATGTGTATATAAGTAAATATTGTTGTACTTGTTGTATCAATGTTGCTATTGTTGTTGTTAGCAGTGTGCTACGCGTGAAATGCTTTTGAAACAAAATTGGACTACTACATTAGTTTTGTAGCCTATGCTTAGACGTGTTATCGAAGCGGAATAACTATAGTGTTCAGCCAGTACTAACAAGTTTAACCTTCTGAAAGTTGAGACTGCTGTTCGCTCCCGATTGCTTGAATTTTTCACTAAGTTTCCGGGTTACCTACTGCAGTTATTTCTAAGGTTCGGCAGCTTTTTCCCCAGAGCAAATTATTCATTTTGGAAATAAATTGCAATGAAGTTCAACATTTTCCGGGTACATACGTATCTAAAATTTTATGCCAACTGAATTATTACTCATCTTGCATTTTCTCTGCTATATGGTGTAGGTCATAGGTTTTGTCATCGACTATATATTGAGGCTATATAGGACAGTCTGTTATGTAACGTAGCCAAACGGATTCGAGTAGCAACACTGGGTTTCCCACACAGGTATCATTCAATAATTATTAATTATCCAGTACAAAATAAATGTCCTTGAAATATAAAGAACTTCCCCGAAATGTTAACTACTATCGTATGTTTGATCGGAAATGAGCATAAGGCTCGAAAAATCCTAACAGACTACCCGTTGGTTGTTACTCAACGCAATAACAAGAACGGCAACAGTCATCTTGATAGGTACGATGTCCATTTGTCCTCTACGGGGTAGATAGAACGATTGCTATAGTGAGCGATAATGTGATAATATTCCAACAAAGCAATCTTCTGCTTGAGTCCGCCCGAGAGCGCCTACGTAGGCATCCTGCGCTTGTAAATGTCTCCTTCCAATCAGTGTTTCACTATTTTTTACTATTATGTTTCTATGCCCAGTTTGGACAATGTAAACAATGCGAGCGCTACCAATCGCTTTACCTCAGCTACCGAGCTTCAGTTTGTTCTGCACGCTTCGTTAAACGTCTGACATATATGTACAACTTTTATGGTCGATTACAAAAACGGTACTTTTAGCTGGCAATGCGTGGTCTGAGTAGATTTGCCTATCCTTTTTTTGACTCTATAATTGACCTTAAACAGGTTTCTACCCACTGCTATGATGAGAAAACAATTCATATAGAGCAATCACCAATTGATCCGTACGCGTCCCTCAAATGGAGACAAGTCGAAATTATAACTAGCGTAAAAACAAATGTATAAATATTCAGAGATTTCCAGGATAGAGGCGGTCGTTGCTATACCTAACCCAGTCCGCAACATTCCAAAGGCGTCTTACCAAACCTTCTTCCAAAGCAAGGTATAATAGTATTTTGCCAACTGCTCTAAATCTTTTATCACGTAACTGCTGAATAGGCCAGTACCGTTTCCTTTATGCCACAACTGTACAGTGGCAGAAAGACTGCCTGCGACCTTAGCGCATATATATCCTCGAAAGTGGGTTGAAATTACAAGACTCCAGTTCGGGAAATAATGCGAAGTCATTGGAGCCTTCGCAACGAGAAAATCGCCGATCCAGATAGGGTCCGTAACAAACATCTCAAATGCACTGTCGTTCTGGCGTTACTTACCTTTTAATAAATGTTCATATATATTGGCACAGCCTCAACCCAATGGAGACACGCTACACTGTTAGTGATCCCTAATAGAAAAGGACAATCCACTAGCGCCATCATCATGGGGCAGAATAGTAAGAAAAACAAGGCGTTTGTTATTAGATGTTCTTCGGCTTGCTGGTTAAAAGATTGGGCAAGTATTGTAGATACGTCGGAAAAACTGGCTCTATTCAAATGACACGGCTGAAATACCAAACTTTACGTCAGTTCTTTAAATACATCTACCGTTCTAACTACTTTTAGGTCTTCCTACTTTACTCGGAGGTGGCAGACGATCTTCTGCCCCTTACACCTATACATGCATATTAGAAATTACCATCGGGAGGAGAGCTTTGTCCGTCGCCCGTAGTTAGTTTGAAAGCTGGCCATCTCCGCTGGCTGTACTCCGCTTCTGCTGGTGCACGTAATAATATATGTCGACATTACTGAATACGATCTGTAAAAAACGATTAAATCAGCGCTCGTGTATGTGTGCCATAAGTAAATCCCGAGTCGAGATTAAACAGTAATATTGTATAGTCAGTACAAATAAGCGGAACGAACACTTTGGAAGCATTTTTATTATACACCTAAATATTTGCGAACGGTTACCATGTAGGTCGTTTAATTGTTGAGTCTGCGTCCTTGGCAGACGCTTCCATCTGAGGGAATATAGCGCACTGAAAAAGTGACATTACATCCGCTTACATATTTTCCCTTCATCTCTCCGTGTTGCTCTTTGTGTGTTCGTTTAAACGACCGTAATAAACACAACTGGTAAGTTCTTTGTCGTAAAGTTATCTAAATAAGATGTATATATCAGCCCGACAGTCCAGCACTACCGCTTGCAGGACAGAATAAGGAATTTTTTTCATATTTTCTGTTATATAAAGTGTCACCCTATTAAATATCATCTACTAGAAAACGTGCAGTGATCTCCGGCTGATGTTCCCATGATCAGTGCAGACTTACAATCGCGCCGTTCACCGCAAGGGGGTCATCACGTCTTTTTGTTTGCGCTAGCTACAGCGAATGGCTATAACAAGCCACCGACAAAAATGTCATACAGCGTCTCCGTTGGGATATCGCCCGCGTATAACTGAAGACGATCATGCATGATAACCTCTAGCGACAAGAAGCTACAACCGTAACAGCAACAGAAGCTGCTGCTGCCGCCTCCGCTGCCATCTTCCAGAAAAAATCCACGTGCTGCTTTTCCCACTGCTATTCAAGAAAGCGACCGCAGGAATCCAACCAGCAACAAAGTTATGAGTCCACCTTTCATCCACAACTTAAACTTGTGCATCATAGCTTTGTTTTTATCTATGTACGTTTCACTCTCGCTGACCGTTTCTCCTGCTCAGCTTGTTATAATGTAATGCTCTTTCTCCTACTAGCGAAATAACAACATATTTAATTATCTAAGAACATACGATATAAAGCAGACATCAGCTTGCCTTAGGGTAGTTATTATTAGTGTTGTTCGAGTGACAGCAGTAAAAAAAACCACAGCAGCTGGCGACAATAAGCCAATCTCACATTAACAATTGCTGCATGATCCGCTACTGATTTCCGCGTCGATTCGATGATCAGAGGCCATCTGACGCTGGCGGAGCAAAGAGAGCTAGCAAAAGTGCCAATCGTAGTAACAGATGACAACAATGGTGATGTTGGTGGTCAAATCGATAGCGTCAAACTGACGTACTGCGTACGCGCCATCTCAACGAAGCAACCTGGGTTCCGGAAAGAGCGCTCGACAAAAACGTCGTCCAGGATCCTGTTGGTCGACGTTAAGGGAGCACTGGCCACGCCGCGCAATCCGCTATGCGCGATGTCTAACGACATCGAAATAGCCTTCGACCTGGAGTCCAGGAACGAGATTATGCTCAAGGTTCTGCCTAAGGTGGCCGTCCCTATGAATGTACTTGAACGTTCTCATTGCGGTTTTACGGTAGCACAAACTAATCATTGACAACAAAGTCGCCGAATTATCTCCTTTCACACAGACAACTAACCTGGTTTAAAAAGACAACCTAAAACCTCATCTCACAGGAGGGGCTTTCCGATCAAATAAAAAAGCCGAGGAAATCGGTCAATATTATCTTATATGCACACGCCTTGAGAATATGCAGGTCGAACAAATTTTAGCCCAGCTCCGCTCAGCATGCAGACTGAGGACTAGCCGTAAGTCTGAGCAAGACGGCTCGAAAAGAGGCGGAACAGTGGCCACTGATATTTTAGGCCTTACTAGGCTGTTTCTTACTTATATGAAGCAACGTATGGTAGATGCGTCGTTTGAGAACGGCAGGGAACGTCAAATATTTAAATTCCGTCAAAATCTCGTTCCTCAAAAAAGCACTGAAATCACCTTTGCGTATATCCTAGTCAAGTCGCCGCTGCTGCTTTAAGATCTACGTTGTCGATCTAAGCTCCCAGCGACCGAAGCTTTTAAGACCGACTTCAAGATCTGGAAGCGAGAGTTCACTTGATTGATAGGGACTCTATCATTTCGGACACGATGACAAACAGCAAGTGAAAAGCGATAAACCGGCTAGATATGTACGTCGTCGATTGCTTTGCCGTGCATGGGTTCCACGTAGACTCTGCAGAGAGCCAGGTTTCTATAGGTCTGACAATACATGCGGGTGCTTTAAATGCAGGGAAATTATGATAAATATCATGCCACTCGTTGTCCCTTGGTGCCACCTTTAGGACATCCGGTAAACTCCACAAGATGCATACAACCCATATGGAGTACGCATCCATACACTATCTACACATGCGACGTTTTCAGCTACAAGTAGCAAAGGTAAGTGAATGAAACCTAAGTTATATATTGAAATTTAGTACGAGGAATACGTTCGTTGTGCAGCCTAAACTTAGATTGAGGAATGACTCATCTAAAGCTTGGTATGGTTAGCGTGAATCTAGTGCTATAGTTTTTTTTTTATC